TTCTGCTCCTGTAAAGATCTGCAGCCTCCCTATGAGTCGGAACCAGCTCTGACAGTATAGTGGTTACTATTCAGGCTGCTAATCTTTCGAAACTACCAGTGGTTCCATGGGAGAAAGGTGAGGCTTTCTGCTCCTGTAAAGATTTTCAGCCTTGGAAACCTCATGCAGGGTCACTGAGTTGGAACCAACTCCACAGTGCACCACCACCACCACCACGCTTGTTTTACTTTAAATATTTCTGTACCTGTATTAAGTTCTGGGAGGTGTTGTCATGTATGGTAATCTCAACAGCTGTCTGCTGTTGTTGGTTCTCAATCCAAAGAAAACCATTTAGCTTTTTTTTTCGGCAAAGTTGATCTGATCATTACAAATTCCTTTAATTTCTATTTATCAAGAAATATCCTAATTTCACTGTCGTATTTGAGGGACAGGTTTGTCGGGTTGGCAATCTTTTTATTACAGAGTTTTGTATATTGCCTTCTTTACTACAAGGTTTCTACTAAGAAATTAAAGCTTAGTCTTATTGGTTCTCCTTGGAATTAATGTTTCGTTTTTCCAGAGCTACAATTTACTGTGATATGTCTTGGTGACTTTCTTTTGGGCTCTACCCTGTTTGGGGTTCATTCAGCTTCTTCTATGCTTATCTTCTTGTCTTTCATGACGTTAGAGAAAATTTCTTCCAATAACTCTGTGCTTGTCTCTTTCTGTTCTGGATTTCTGATGACCCATGTTATTCCTCATCATGGAGTCCCATATAACTCTTAGGCTTTCTTCAGATTTCTTTAATTTTTTTATCTGATTGTTCTTCTAGCATACTAGTATTGAGAGAGTGCTCTTCAAGCTCACTAATTTGGACTTCCATAGGTTCACATCCACTCTTTTGCCTTTTCAATGTACTGGTCATTTCTGAGAACTTCATATTAATCTTCTAGATTTCTAATTGCAGGTTTTGTATTGTTTCAAAATTTGTGTTTATTTTTGCCTGTTTCTTCTTGTAGTGTTTTCTTGAATTCTTCTAAAGTTTTAATTGTGTTCTCCTTGCTTCCTTTGAACTTTCCATAAATCCTTTGAAGGTACCTAATTATCATTCTTTTGAATTCTTTTTCAGTTAGTTCTATTACTTTTTACTCCTCAGAAATGCCTTCTGGCTATACATCTTGGTCATTTGGTTGAGCCATTATTTTTTGTTTCTTCAAGTAAGCTAAAATTGTCTATTGTCTCCAGGGCATTTTGAGGTTGTTGTAGTTGCAAAAATAAATAGTGCAGTTGTATGATCCAGAGGGGACAAATTTCTAGGGGGTTCTGTAATTGAAAGAGCTCATAAGGTGATTGTGGAAGGGATATGACAGCAGAGTCCCTGGCCTTAGATTGAGTTTCTATTGGCCTTAGAGTTATCTATGTTCAGGGCACTCAATCTGGAAATAGTTTGTGGGGGACCCTTGATGTAGTTGGTGGCAGTGTCTGTTAGGACCACAGGGAAGTTAGGGTCAGGATGACTGATTAAATGCAGGTCTGCTGGTTCTGTAGGTCTGGAGCTGAGTCCACCTGAATCCAGGCACAAAGCAACATAGCTGGCCTCCAGCTCACGCTGATGCGGCTCCCAACCATACAGCTCCAACCTTCCGGACAGGGTCTGTGCTGGGGGTGGATGAGGGTGGGAGCTGGACACACTCTGGTCAGCAGAAGTGTGTGGGGGGAAAGGATAAACTGCACTTTTTCAGTTGTCTGTGCAAATCTGCTCTGCCAGGTCTTCCTCCTCTGTCAAACCTGTTCTCGAGATGGTGGAGTCATGCCTGGCCAGCCGTTCACGAGTCAGTCTCCCTCTCTTTCCAACCCTGCTCGGCCTCTCCACCCAGAGAAACGTTGTCTACCTCTCTACCCTTTCTTGGAAGTTCAGGATGCCATAATTTTCCTCTGTATCTGTTTAATTTTATTTCTCGTATCTTTGTTGTAGCGGGTCAGTGTAGTTTATCTGCCTAATCATCCATCTTGTTGGAAGTGGTCTACAGTACTTCAATGTGATAAATTATTTTAAATGGAATTTAACTTGGCAAAGATATATTTTGATCAAATATCAAAATCTTAATTTTAATGGTATAAATTTAATTTTCAGTAATGGACAGAACAAAGAATTAAGATGTTTGCCTCATTAATATATCAAAGACAAATTGAAGTTCTTCTAAACCAGGTTAAAGATGGGGAGCGTTGAGTCTGATTGTGGTTCCATCAAATTACTTGTTATAACTTAGAAACATATAGACCTCTGAATCATTATCTCAAGTAGGAAGTAAAATATAAAGTTTTCTTAAGAGGAAACTTTCTCTCCTATGCATAAGGGAAGAAGAAAAAAAGTTATTCATGTCTAAATGTTGTATAGTGTCAATTATTAACTACACATTAAATAAAAAACATTTAGTGACGGTGCCACAAATTACACCTGGGCACACAGAGAGGATGTGCACCAAGAAGAATAAAATCTAATGGAGGGAGATATATAAAATATAAACTACTATGTGGTTGTTGTTGTTAGGTGCCATCGAGTCAATTGCGACCCATAGTGATCCTGTATAGGGTTTCTGAGGAGCAGCTGGTGAGCTTGAACCACTGACTTTGCTTTCAAACCAACTTTGCAGTCCAGTACATTAACTCACAGTGCCACACAAGGACTCCCGCAACACAAAATATTGTACTAAGTGTCATTTCAGTGATACAATTGATCTTGGCAGAAAGAGTCAGGAAAGGCTTTACAGTGAAAGTAAAACTAAGATAGAGCCTAGGAGACCGTGAGAGATTTTTTACTAGGCACTGGAATTCAAATTACAGGTTGGAAATTGAGTTCATTAGCCACTCTGCAGGAAAAAAAAATAAGGTTTTATGTTCTTGCAAAGGTTTGTTGTTGTTGTTAGGTGCCATCGAATCGGTACCAACTCATAGTGACCCTATGCACAGCAGAACGAAACACTGCCTGATCCTGGGCCAACCTCACTATTGTTGCCACGCTTGAGTCCTTCGATGCTGCCACTTGGCCAATCCATCTTGTTGGGCGTCTCCCTTTTTCTCTAACCCTTCACCTTACCAAACATGATATCCTTCACCAGCCAATGGTCCCTCCTGACAACATGTCCAAAGTATGAGAGACGAAGCCTGGCCATCCTGGCTACACTTCTTCCAAAACAGATCTATTGGTTCTTTTGGCAGCCCATGGCACTTTCAATATCCTCCTCCAACACCAGAACTCAAAAGCATCAATTCTTCGACAGTCTTCCTTATTCACTGTATTTATAGCTCTGAAAATCCCATACAGGATTGCTATGAGTCAGAACTGACTCGACGGCACTTAGCAAATGAGCCACTTTTGTAAAAAAATTCAAAAAGAAAATGGGGAGGAAAACAAGCACTCTCCTATTATGATTTGAAAATATGTCCATAAGTTCGTTCAGATTCCAGTCTTTACAAGGTGGGGTCTAATTACCCAACTCTTGAGCGTGATTTGAACTAGCTTCTAATGAATAGAAGTTTCCCATCAGAAACTAGGTCATAAAGACACTGTAGCTTCCTCATTCTCTCCCTTGAATTGCTCACTCTGGGTATATTACCTTCCATTCTGTGAGGAACTCAAGCAAGCTATGGAGAAGCCTGTGGTAAGAAGCAGCCCTCCTGCCCACAGCCGCATGAGTGAACCAGTCCTAGTTAAGTCTTCAAATGATTGTACCCCTGGCTGACACTGACAACAGTACTAGACAAACACTGAGCTGGAATCAGTCAAACACTCTGATTCTGAATTCCTGTTTGTTGCTTTAAGACACTAAATTTAGAGGTAACTTACTATGTAGCAATTTGTTGTTGTCATTGTTGTTAAGTGCCATTGAGTCAGTTCTGTCTCACAAAAACCCTGTGTAGAATTTTCCAAGGCTTTTAAAATCTTTGCAGAGGCAGAAAACCTCACCTTTCTCCCACAGGGCAGCTGGTGGGCAAGAACCATGAACCTTGTGGTATGGAGGTAGCGTGACCCAGATTTCTTAACAGACCAATCTAGGGTAGGAGGTTCACATGCTCAGGATTTTCTAAATCTGTAATGGTTCTTGAATGCCACCAATTCGGCTCAGACTCCCTTGTGGTTCACAGTCCAGTGCTTAATCTACAGAGCGATTGTACTCCTCAATGTGCAATTAATATATACCAAATAAAATTGAAATAATACTTTCTTCTTTTTTTTTTTAAGCTACGAAAGTACCATGAACTCATTTGTCAGACAACAGACCTAGAAGGTATGAGAAAAGGCTGGGTGATACTGAGCCACTGTGAAACTTCTCTGCCACTTCTAAACTGATTCCAGCCTGTACTTCACCTAAAAGGCAGAGTAGAAGTGCTGCACAGGATTTACTAAACTGTAATCTTTCGAGAGGCTGTTGCTGTTGATATTAAATGCCTTCGAGTTGTTCCAACTCAGCAATCCTGTATAGGGTTTCTGAGGAGAAGCTGGTGAGTCTGAAGCGCCAAACGTGTGGGGTTCAAATGAACCTCGTGGTCCAGGGCTTATCTACTACACACCACACCAGAAGACAACTGTCATCTTTTCCTCCCATGTACTCAACTAGTGGGTTTGTGAACAGCTAACATTTCAGGTAGCCGTTGAGTGCTTTAACCACTGTGCCACAATGGCTTCTTATGTTGAAGACAAACTGGTCTAAATATATTAATATGTTCTGAAAGAACACCTTTTTATTCATAAGAAATTTTCTAAAGGAAAAAAAAATCTGAGCAAGCAAACTTCAGCAGTGAAAAGTGAAGCTCAGAAAATTAACACATTTTTAATGTCCTATCAAAGCATTCTCTCTAGCTTCTAATCTTTTTCTTAATATAGTAAAATCATCCTAGTATTTAGTAAAAACTGTTTCTTATTTCTTATTTCAAATTTGATGACCATGGTGATTAGTTTAAAGGAAACGTAATTGTTTGGGGGTCTCAAAGAAACTACTAAGGAAGTTATGTCCACTAACCTGAGTGCAAATATTCGGAAGACAAAGTGCTAGTTTCACCATATTAGGTAAGATGGATTGACATAAATGTTGAGCTTCTGCTTCTTCAAGTACCTAAAAATTCAATAAAATATGTTAACAGTGAATAAATGTTCACTATAAAATGAAATTACATGTGTGCTTTTCATGTAATACTATAAAAAGGGACATGATCAGCATCATCAACATGCATAAAATGGGATTTATACTTACAGGGTAAACTTTAAAATTCACTTCCAAATGTAAATAACAGAACTTAACGCAATCTAAAATACTTCTCATTAGCTGAAAATGAAGAAATGTACTGAATGACCTTGTCTAATTCAACTGAAAATTGCTAAACCACTATTCATTTATTCAGAAGTCCTCAAGGATCCATTGAGAATTTTTTTAAATTACCATTGTTGTTGTTAAGTACCATGGAGTCAGTTCCGACTCATAGTGACCCTGCACAGGGTTTCCAAGGCTGTAAATCTTTACGGGACCAGAACACCTCATCTTTCTCCCGTGGAACCGCTGGTAGTTTCAAACTGCCGATCTTCAGGTTAGCAGCCCGATTGGTAACCACTACGCTACCAGAACTCCTTTTAAATTACCATTAAACCCACATAAATTTCATATATTTGATACCCAGGAATCAAACTGACTACATCTGTGGGAAGAGATGGTACAGAAGAGCTTAACAGCATTAGCCAAAACAAGACCAGGAGCTGACCATGGAATAGACCATACATCAATTGTTCCTAAGAAAGTTCAGGCTGAAGCTGAAAAATAATGAAAATGAGCCTATGAAAGCCAAAATATCACCTTGATACTTTGTTGTTGTCTAGTCAGTTCTGAGTCATAGTGATCTTATGTAGAACACACGAGGCAGGATGTCAGTTTGAGAACTAAGATGCATCTGATCCAAGCCATGTAATTTTCAATAACCTCATATGCATGTGAAAGTTAGACAATGAATAAGGAAGATCAGAGAATAAAATTATGTATTTCAGTTATGGTGCTGGAAGAGAATACTGAACCCATTTTAAGAGGTAGCATATGATCACGAACCGGTGGTACTGAAGGCATTGGTAAAAAACAAGCCTCCAGGAATTGACGGAAAACTAACTGAAAAGTTTGAACAAACATGCTGCACAGGAAGAACTCACTCATCTATACCAAAAAAAATGAAAGACAACAACTGAAAGAGATCCGCATTTAGGCCCATTTCAAATAAAGTGACCCCAACAGAATGCAGAAGCCATCAAACAGAATCACTTATATCACAGGCAAGGTTTTTTTTTTTGCTAAAAAAACAGTGTGGTAGTACACTGACAAGGAACTGTCAAAACTTCAAGTCATATTCAGAAGAGGACCAGGAACAAGGGATATCACTGCTGACGTCATATGCTGCTATTGTTGCTGTTAAGTGCAGTCTAGTCAGTTCCTACTCATAATGACCTTGTACAAAGTTTCCAAGGAGCAGCTGGTGAGGTCGAATCACTGAACTTATGGTTCAAATGACCTTGTAGTCTAGTCCAGTGCTTATCCTATGGTGCCACATGAGAATGAGATATGGATGTTGGTTAAAAGCAGACAATACCAGAAAGCTGTTTTGGTTATCTGTGTTTTATTGACTATGCAAAGGTATTCAACTATGTGGATTATAAAGAACTATGAATAACATTTGTGCTCATGAGGAACCTGTACACAGAACAAGAGGCAACAATTCGAACAGAACTAGGGGACACTGAGTGGTTTAAAATCAGGAAAGGTGTGTACCAGCATTGTGGTTTTTACCATACTTATTCAATATGCATGCTGAGCAAATAATCTGAGATGACAGATTATATGAAGAAGAACGTGGCATCAAAATTGGAGGCAGACTCAATAACAACCTGCAATGGGTAGATGATACATTCTTGCTTGCTGAAAGCAAAGAGGACTTACAACGCTTAATGATGAAGATCAAAGACCATAGCTTTGGTATGGGATGCATCTCAATGCAAAAAAAAAAAAAAAAATCTCACCACTGGAGAAAGATTGAACTTGTCAAAGACTTCATTTTGCTTAGATCCACAATCAACACTCACTGTAGTCAAGAAATCAAACAATATATTGTATTAGGCAAAACTGCTGCAAAATAATTGTTTAAAATGTTAAAAGGGAAAAGATGTTAGTTTGAGGACTAAGGAGCTCCTGATTAGGCCGTGGTATTTTCAGTCTCCTCACAGGCATGTGGAAGTTGGACAATGAATAAGGAAGACTGTAGAAGAACTGATGCGTTTGAATTATGATGCCAGTGGCAAAGAATACTTAAAGTACCATGGGCTGCCAGAAGAACAGATCTGTCTTAGAAGCGAAGTACAGCCAGAATGTACCTTAGGAGCATGGTTGGAGTCACTTAGCCTCTAGTTCTTTATAGACATTGTCTGTCAGGCAGGATCATTCCTTGGAGAAGGATATCATGGTTAGTGAAGTGGAAAGTCCAGCGAAAAAGAGGAAAATGCCCAACGAGATGGACTGACACAGTGGAAGCAACAATGGGCTCAAATGTAACATCATCAGGCGTAATTTCATTCTGTTGTGCACTGGGTAACAATGAGTCAGAAACTACTTAATGGCAATTAACATATTTTTGCTCTAAAACTACCATTTGATTCTTTTTTAGAATTTGTTGGAACTTGGATTTGTCTACTGTTTCGCTATTTCAGGGATTTCACAATTCCTCATTGTAGCCTTTTTATAATTTGCTGTTGCGGTTAAGTGCTGTTGAGTCAGGTCCGATTCATAGCAACCCTGTATAAGGTTTGCAAGGCTTTACATCTCCTTGGGAACAGAAAGCCTCATCTTTCTCCTGAATGGAGCAGCTGGCGGGCTCGAACTATGGACACTGCTTACCATATGGACCCACTACTCTCTCTTTCTCATAACTGTTGTTGTTGTTAAGTGCCATCAAGTCGGTTCTGACCCATAGTGACCCTGTAGAGGGCTTCCAAGGAATAGCTGGTGAGCTTGAGCCACCGACCTTGCAGTTCAAACAGCTTTGCAGTCAGTCTGGCGCATTAACCCACAGCACCACACCAGGACTCCCATAATTGTTGCTAAGTGCCGTCAAGTCCGTTCAGACTCACAGAGACCCTGTAAAGAGTTTCCATGGAGCAACTTTGAACCACTATTTGGATTATAGCTGTTTTAAAATCTTTTTCAGACAACTCGAACTTTTGTGTTATCTCAGGGTTGTTGTCTGTTGACTGCTCTAATTCAAGACTGGTAAGTGGTGTTCTGGGCATGAGACTTTGGATCTTATTTTAATCTTGCCTTAGTAGACCTACTGTGACAGTACACTGGTGGTGGAAAGAGAAAGCCACCAGCTGGGACTGGACAGTCTTCATAACTTAGCCATCCGTGGCCCTCGGGGCAAGGAGTTGTTGTAGATTTGTTAAGTGCCGTCAAGTCGGTTCCAACTCATAGCAACCCCATATAGGGTTTCCAAGTGGGTTTGAACTGCCGACCTTGTGGTTCGCAGTCCAGTGATGATCCTACAGTGCCACAAAGTTACACGTGTAAGGAGTAGGAATGATGTTTTGTTATTGTTGGATCCTTTGCTAATGGCTATCTGTGCTAGGACCCCTATTTCCTAGCTAGTCTGCCTCCCTTCTCCACCTTTCAGTCTTCTTATGCTGTTTTAGATACAATGTCTGGGATTTTTATTCTATAATTATGTTAGGAAGAATTGCCTATTCAAACACTGTTTAACCTAAGACATTTAACCCTAAGTGTCTAATAGGTGACAGCTTGCTTCCACTGGGTATCTGTCGTTGTCTTTTAAAACTGACATATGAAGAGCTGCCACCATGCATTGCTGAGTCACAAGCTTTATAATATTACCAATTTGTCTGTGGAAATACCACTGAACTAGACTTTCTACAATTGTTAACATTTCAGACCTATGTTTAATGATATTTTTAAACTGTAAATGAGTACATAAAATAATATGTCATTCAAGAAAATTAATGTATAAGACGGAATACATAATCTTAAAAACAAATGACATGACCTTATGCCTTCTCACATTATTAATAGTTTTATGAAAGTCAGGCCTTTTATAAAATTACTTACTAATCTATAAAATTTATTAAAGGAATAAAAGATTTGTTTTACTTTTTCCCAAGAAATTTTTCCTTGGCCAAAAATTCTATAGCAATTAAGAACAATAACCATTTATGTATTATAATATAGGAAATGAAATCATGATGTGGCACTATAGAATAAGCACTGGACTGCTAATCCCAAGGTCAGTGATTCAAATCCACCAAACACGTCTAAGAAACCCTACACAGGGTCGCTGAGTTGGCACCAGCATCAGTACTGGGCTACGAAACAAAATACCAGTGGTTCAAACCCACCAGCTACTCCTTAGAAACCCAATACAGGGTCACTGTGAGTGGGAACTGACTCGACAGTACTTAACAACAATAACAAAAAAGGAAAGAGTTTATTATATTATCCAAAAAAAAGTCCAGCAAAATGACAAACTAACAGGATAATCTCATTTACTCCCCTAGCAACTAACTCACTGAACAACACCTACAAACAAGCACAGATTGAGATAACAACTTCTAATGGCAGCTGAGGTGTTGGGAAATTGAAATGAGTCCAGATGTTGGGTAGAGGAGACGTAGGTACAACACAGAAGCTGGAAGAAATTACTCATTAACATAAGGAGCGCTGGGCTGGGTCTGGGCAACAACCTCAACAGGGAACACAGAAAAGAAGCTAATCTGAGGATGTTGTAGCCTGACATTTTAAAGGTGGCACAAACTGGCTGTGGGAGTTTGGGGATCATGTGTTAAGGAGAGGGTAAAGAAAATGTGGTACAAAACATGTGATGCTGCAACAGAGTGCTGTGGAATTAAAGTGAGCCCCACAATGAACAGACACCAGGATTGGGATGGACTGCAGGGCAGCAAGGCAAAAGGAGTATTTCAGAATGACAGTGGGCACAGATGGAAATGGCAGCTCCCTCGAACAGTGGGAGGACAGGGGAATGTCTGTGTACAGGCTCCCAGGAAGAAAGCCAAAGTGAGCCG